TCCCTTTTGTTCTGATAATATGTTGATTAACATCTTGAACAGAGAAACAATGAACTAGAAAAAAAAACTATATTTGCACAGTTTCCCCATTCTCTCCCCTTTACCTCCTACACCACCCCACCCTCAGCCCCCCCCCCCCCTCTAAACTCGCCCAACTGTCCCGCTGCGCAGCATGCATATTTGACCTGGTATTTCTCTGGCTGAGCCCCCGTCAGGGTCAGGGTCTGCGTCGGGGGCACCAGCAGTCACACAGGGTTAGGTTGGGTGTCATTCAGCTCCTCTGGCCCGGTGCTGCTCTCAATCATTCCCTCAACCGAGGGGTCATCCTGTGATTCCTCCCCGCCCCACATCTGACTCAGTGGGGCTCCGGACTCATCCCATCACCAGCCCAATCTCTCCCCTCTGGAGTGCGAATTTTCAGATTTACGCTTGCAAATTGTACATCTTCAGCAGTGTCAAAGTAGGAACACAATCTCTTTTGGGAATATATTTCCTCCACAGCTGAGGCTGAATGTTCTGTGACTGAGCCCAGTGTCCCCAGGTAGTTCAGCTTTTCCCTCAAAGTGGGTAAGAGAAACAGAGATAAGAGGAGTCTTATAGTATGTATGAATTCATGTATGAGTATGCTGTTGGGAAACCCAACAGAAACCGAATGTCTTGCTTCCATTCAACATGTGGTGGTCTGTTGGTTCTGATTTACATTTCAGTGAATCTCCGGCCCCATATTTCCCTTCCTTTGCATCCCTGTGATGTTCTGTGACAATTAACATCCCAACTCTTTCTTGAGGTTTGTTGAAAGCTCAGGGGCTAATTCAAGGGTCAAGCAAGACTTGCAAGCTGTCAATCTCTCATTGTAACTCGACTCCCCCTCCCCCACCCAGGTTCTTTATTCTTAGCCCCCCCCCTCTATTCTCCCAGACTTCGTTTTATAGAATGGCCCGACTCTTCTTCTATTCTCCTGTGGCCCTCGAGCAGCTAGAGAGGGACAACCAGGAGCTTTGTCTAAGGAGCCCGGCATTCTTTGACATCTGCCTCTTGTTTTCAGACCCCCGCTGCATTCAAATTTCAAACTGTCCTTTTCAATCAGCCCCCCTCCCCTTCCCTCTAATAACCCCCTTCCTCCCAGTTATCCAGCCTTTTATTTTTTTTCCTTAAGAAGTCCAACTGGGCTCCTGCAATTCAAAACTTCTGCCACTCACTTGTCGATTATAAAGCATTCTGTTGTTTTGCGAATATTTAACCCACACATATGTTTACCGCCTCTGGGCCCAAGCCCCTGTGGCTTCTCCATTTTTAGAGTACTTAAACACATGTCTGCAATGACTTCATATTTAGCCAAAGCAGTGCGATACATTTTAGCAGTCTGTGCTTAACAATCACGGGAAATTGCCTTCATTATCTGTCTGGTGCATTAGAAGCAGCCATGTTGAACATGATGCGCTTCATCATCTGTCCACCCACCCTCCCTCTCTTATAAACTCCCAATCCCTGCACAACAACACATTCTTGCAGATGCTAAAACCTGTTCTAAGATCACACCCAAGTCGAGGGCGATGTAAGAAAACAGTCGAGACATGATCGCCGTCGGTTTCTGTTTCAAGGCGGAGAGAGAAAAGAAACCCCCAGCTGAGAGGGGAGACCTCGGCACGTTTAATGAGAACGGCAGTCTTCCTTCAGTCTGCGCCTTTGGTGTCTCAGCATGTTAAACACTCACAGCATGATACAAAATATATTAAAGTTTAGGACTGTTATCATCGATTTACAGAACAGCCGTCCCCACGTACTAGGGATCTACATTCTGCATTTCTTCTTCGTAGCAGGGGGTCTCGACTGCCTGGGAGGCAAAGCTGTATAATCGTCTTTGTCTCTACATTCTGACACAGGAGGTCCGCCGAGCACGTTGCCTCTTTTTTCACACTATGATGACAGGCAAGCAAGAATAATCATAATGATTTAACACTATTATCTCGGGATAAGACTTATAATAGTTTGTTTACATTTGTAAACCCAAGTCCCTGCAGCCACCGAGAGACACACATGAAATGCACACTTTTTCACCTGCTCCTAATATAATTAATATTGTAGGTATAAGGTATTTCATTTGCAAAATAGGAATGAAAATACCACCTCTTCTAATGGTTTGGAGGTTAAATAGGTAATGTGTTTTGATGGAAGACTTTTAATTGTCAAACAAGTTATGGGCACAGCATGCGTCTGTATTGGGACTATCAGTGTGTGTCTGTGCACTCTAATCATTAGATTACAACCAGAGCAAGGCAACACACTAATTACTGCAACTACCATTATAGACCTTAACCAGGTTATCTTACCCGGTGTCAAGGTCGTAAGCCAAGCAGGCGTAGCATCAGTCTTTGAAATTGCACTTGGCAGGTATATCTGGAAGTGCCTGTGTTTTGATTCTCCGCACGCTCCACAGAGGTCACAGAGTGAACCTGATGCAAAGTGAGACTATATTCGATAAAAGAGTGACAAGGCTGGGGTTGGTGGGAAAATGGAAGTAATATTTTTGAGTGACAGTGATATAAATTGTATGCTGCTAACACCTAAGGTTCCTGTGAGAATGTTAAAACAATTATTACAGAGTATATCTCTTCATTCTTTTATTACATTGCTTTTTAATGTTCGCCTGTTAGTGAATTTAGTTTAAGTAATTTATTTATGCCTTTGGAAATGGGGTTATTGTGAACCAAGTAAACAAACTGTTACGCTAAGGTAGTATATTATTTTGTCCATGACAATATAATGAGCGACTTTTGTCATTAACAATTAAACGTATGGGTGATCTATGTATTGTCTTAGTGGACAAAAGAGTAAGAGCTTTGTACGCACGGATGAAGCTACTTAAGCCTATATGTGCACTGTACAGCTTATTTGTAGAGACAATCTGCTTAAATCCTTGTTATACTGTATGAACCTGTGTAAGCTGTAGGCTGATTATTTGTAGCCACTTGCTTGATGAACTTAACTTGTGACCTGTGCACTGATCAGCCAAAAGACTAGGCTTAGGGTTTTGTTTGGTCTCTGTGATCAACTTTCATTTGTCGAGTCTCATGACTGCATATTATTCCATTTAGGCTAAATACATCGTGGCTGGCTGTGCTGTGCTCCCGTTAACCTTTTTTAAATGGCTCTAAAATTAAAGGTCTCAGGTGAGGCCCAATGTCATACTAGATGAGCTGATTATGGCAGGCCTAATTATAACTTTGTTGGCTGATGTGTTCGCCCTGCATTTCTCGGCGATGAATTATCATGCTGTCTGAGAACTCAGACAAAATAGATCAAAGACTCTTCAGGCCGTGGATCATCTCTAGAGTGGAGGAACAAGCCGGCGCTAATTTGTGCAGGTCTGACTGTACTGTACATGACATGACAAACATAATTCCTCTCCGTCTTTTCAGTTGAGTTCTCCTTTTAACTCCTAGTGTGATGGAGTACACTATGTCCCTTGCTTTTTAACAAACATTTCCAAGCTGAATGCACAAAAGAAAAATGGCATGTTGTTTTTGAATGACTAAAAATTATTTAAAAAACATTTTCTAATGGGGTCCTATGTGCCTTGTTGCCAGAGTGATGCCAAATCCCATGGTGAATGTGCTAATGGTTCATGGGAGTGAGAGGACTGAGCTAAGCCCAGCAGTGTAAACATGCAGACAAAAGGGAGCCGTTAGTCGTGTGAAACGCATGCCTGGGAGAGCAGGTAGGCATTAGGTTTCACCCTACATAGCCAGAGCACTGTATCCGTGACTGGGAGGAGGCCATTTGCTTTTGTAGCAAAAGAAAGCAAAAACAAACACTCAAACAGACGAGTACTAAAGGGACAGGTATGGATGAGGTGGGGAGAGAGGAATTCTGGTGAGTCGAGTTGTAAGGGAGGGGATGAGGAGGGAAGGGGCCGGGGAGATAAGGTGGTCAGTCACAACAGAGAGAAATGACCATTTGCTCCGCAGTGTCTCTCTATTTGTTTGTTTGTTTGTTTGTTTGGCTAGGGCACGGGGGTGGAAAGAATCACAATACATCAGTCAAATAGAAGGACTGTTACATTTAAACCTCTACTGAGGGAAAGGTAGTGGGAAAGTCTACTTAAATAAACAGTATCATGTAGCTAATTAAAAATGTTGTTGTTTGATTGACCATGTCTAAAAATAACTAAACTACAAAAATGATATCAGTATTTGACCAGACAAGACAAAGTGTACATCCTCCGCTGTTATTAAAAAGTTTTTCCTTTTATTACTCAGACATCAACAAAGCTAATGCAGACCAATGCAGGATGAAAAGCTTTTTGGCTAATGTTCACCAAGCTATTCCCATCGATGTTTTTAGCATTTAATGTTGCTGTCAGTTAATTTAACATTTCCGCCATGTGGTTGGAGAGTTTTGATGCCGTGTCAATTTACAGTTGCTCAGTTCCTGAAGCAACTTTTCTGGCTAGTTGACAAAACTTTTTTCTGTAGGGCTGATTCCAATCTGTTGGAAGCTTTGTTCTACAATGGAGGGACTTTTGGTGAGAAGTATTCGTAGATGGAGATCTCCAATCAAGATCACTTTAAAATCCTTACTCATATGTCAATTTGAAGTTCTCATCAAGATACACATGTGTTCTTTGTATAAGGTACAGAAAATGTAATTTGACACAGCACTGATAAGGTTAGCATCACGAGGAGACGGACAGGGCGGGCCTTATCTGTTTGATGACAGCGCTGATCCCGCCCCTCCCTGCCAGTGAAATGGTTAGCATTCAGCAGCCATTAAGGGATTTCCCCTCTCAGGATTATTGACCTTATGGGCTTATTTTGGTGGCTTTGCATTGGTTTGTAGCATTTCACAGCTTAAGGTTTGTCACATTTCTGCAGTGGAATGTAAATGCAGCATCAAGTGTGACAGGGTGGATTCCTGTGTGAAATCGCATAGGGACAGAGCTCACCACGTGGAATACATTTCACCCCTGAACTGAACGTCTCTCTTGGTCTGCTCCACAGGTGACAGGATCAATGATGAGCATCTCTGAGACGGGTTGGCTTGGACTTTTCTAATCAGAACCTTTTTACTCGCAACACAATCCTGCCACAAACCATCAACCCCGGGCGCCATGGCATGCTCCCTGTTGAAACTACAGACCTTCTGCTGGTTTCTCATCACACTAGCACAAGTGCACTCCACGGAGGGTAAGTACTCATGAAACTTTTTCCTTTCTAAAACTGATTTTTTTTTTTCACATGCCACTGTTCTAAAAGCATATTTTCAATGAGTGTCTTTTCAGGCTCGACAAAAGCAATTGCCAGCATATTATTTGTTATTGTCTTATTTAGAAATATATCATGAGCAGTGAAATTGTGACTGAAGCCGGAGCTGCTCCTCTGAGTGCAGGCGGTGCTTGTGTAAGTAATGCAGCTCTAAAGACAGTGGGCACAGGCGGATGGGGGATAATCTTGAGTGGTTTCATTAGTTGGTAAATTGTGATTTGTCTGAGATTTTCTGCTTGATAGCGTCAGTTGTTCCCAGTGGCATCAGAGCTGGATCCATTTGTAAATTCCTCTCTGGAATGTCTCATGGCAGACACACACAGATTTCACACTTCGATATAAAGCTTGAATGTGTTTTAATCATAGTGCATTTAACTTTGATTAAATCACTCTCAGCTGTCTCATAATAACAAGATTTATGCAGCCAATCCATATCTTATAAAGTGTATCCTGTACATGTTAGTGTTTAATCACGAGAATAGAGGTGATGTTTGAAGATTTGATTTAGAAAAACTAGAGTTGGCATCTTTGCAGTGCAATACATCAAAAGCATGATTAAGGTTGTTGGTGCCAAATGTTCACTATACCTGTTTTACTGATTTTTTAAAACACTCAATAATGTAGGATTATTGATTGAAGTTTGAAAGGTAGTGATTCATCACGATGCTTCATTTACACTGCAGCAAGTCACACTGCCATGATGTGTTTTACCATATGTTCTCTTCTATCATCTGGCTTGGATCTTTTATATAAGATTTTTTTAGCACGTGGTCTCTATAGGCTTCAGTAATACACATTATACAGTATGTTTGCACCCTGACATATCATTTTAGTTACCTCACGCAAAGATAAGAGTTTGCCATTTCAAAGCCTAGGTATCTATACGTAAGCTTATTCAGGGGGCAGGAAAGATAGTACCCACCCTAGAGAGTTTCTGTGCATTGCAGTGCTTCTGGTTTCACCCCACACACCATAACAATCAGTGTTTTGAAAGATGGAAAGCCAGTTTGGGATCTATATGGTACATGACTAACTCCCAGTGATTGGTCAGGGCGCATACTGCCAAAGTGGATGTGATAAGGTTAATCTCTGTATGGTATGAGACTGTTTGCTGACAGGTTACATGTGACTCACAGGGGACACTCCTCTGGTAAACGGAGGGAGTTAGCAATCACTGTCGCCCAAGAAGAAAGGTTTATTCCAAATCAGGTGGAAGGAGAAAACGCAACAAAGGAATACACCAGGTTATTGACGACATTTATCATTCACCTGTTCCTCTTGTTGGTTCCGCTCCGCCCTCACCTCCCTCCCATTCCCCATCCCAGCCACAGAGATCAGCCCAGAAACAGTTCATTACAAACAATATCCCCAAGTTACCATGCTTCATTAAACTGCGTCTACCCCTAATATCTTTTTAATGCATTTCTATAATTGAATTAAATGGGTTATTAGAATGCTGTAAATAGTCCTAAGTTTGGTCCTTTTTTTCTCCCTTCGCTTTCTTTGCGTTTGAAGGAAGATATACACAGCCAAGATTGAAACTGTAGCTGTGGGGGATTGTGTTTCTCTCTGTTCTCCTTCTATTCAAATCATGCCTCATCCAGCACATTTTACTGCATCAGCCCGACAACTTTTTACATGACTCTGATCTGTATTTGTTCAGCCTACTCACTGCCATTCCAGGCGTTTCATCTCCCATTTTACTTATTTTATTCACATCTGGGAACAGAAAGGCTTGTATGTATCCACAATGGAGGCAGCCTAGTCAGTGACATTAGTTTCTAAAATTGATTTGGCTTATTATTCTAATTATGCTATATATAGATGAACTGCATATATGTCACGATGTTATACATATCAAAGTGTCTCTGAACCATATAATATAGAATTAACCATGCTATACTGGAGATATCATTCTATGTTTCTGTCCCTTATGTGAACAGCTTCTCCTTAAGTGCGACATTGTCTACAGTCATGGTAAAGCAGCAAATATTATAATAACTATTTAAAATACAGGCCTGTTTTATACCCTGTGATTTGATCTGGGAACATACATTTGAGCCAGTGCTCTCGCAGTATGTCCGTGAAACTACAAAATCCCAAGAGGGCCTTGTTGTGACATAGATACTGTAATCAAAATCAATATCAGTATGGACATAATAATTTGAGAAGAAACACTATATGGGATTCCGGGTATGACATGGAACTCAACATATTCCCAGTTCTAAGGGGTTGTCACATTTAAAGTCTAAAATTCAAGAAGAAATGTTGTTAAAGGACACATGAAGTTCAGTTTGCTCATTATTAAGTAGTAAACCCAGGCTGTTAAAACAGTTGCATCATGTCTTCTGTGGCTCTGGAGGGAGATTTCCAAAGTCTAATGATGCCATCCGAGGTTATCTTGGCTTGGACTTGAGACTTTCTGCTTCTTTTTTCTCACCGAGTTAGGTTTTTAGTAGAAACTGGGGGCAGGAAGTTCAAGGGACGTAGGTATTTAGCAAACAGGGAGAGTCTTAGCAAATATATTATGTGTTGCATTAGTCAAGGGGCAGAAACCAGTTTTGCCGAAGCTTGACCCATAATATAGACTAAAATACAAGATATCTTGGCCTCTGCTCCATTGATTTTTCGGTAAAGCTTCTTATGAAATATTGAATATTTGGGAGGCCTCTTTCTCAATGCACTACTTTCCTCTAGGGCTGTGCAATTAATCGTATTTTAATCGCAATTACGATTTTGGCCTGCCACAATTACGAAAACAACATAATCGAAAAAAACGATTATTTTGCTTTGCTAGGTTGTGACAGTGCACTGAAACATATTTGATCAAATGTATTTGTATTCATCATATTTATATATGTTTAGTAGCTTGTTGAAGTGCGCTCCAAAATATTTGTTGATCTTGTTTATTGGTATTTATTATTTTTGATATTATTTATTTAAATGTAGATATAAATGTATCATTTATTTTATTTATTTTTGTATTGGTTTTTCAGTTGAATTATACGTTCAGGGTAATCAACAGTTAAAAAGATACTGTTCAAATTATTATTTGTATTTAAAAGTTCAATAAATGGATGTTTTCAAAGGCTATGAATAATCGTATTTAATAATCGTGATATCAATTATTGACCAAAATAATCGTGATTATGATTTTTGCCATAATCGCACAGCCCTACTTTCCTCTATTGAGTAGTTTTTAACACACATTTTCAGACAAGTGGACAAACAATCTACTAACATCCTGTTTTTGTCTTAAGTGGGAAAGGATTCTATTGGCATTCATTCCAAGGACAAATCACTCTGAAGTATCACAGGCAATAGTCAAAGATTTCCCTGCGTAAAAAAAATTCATATACACGGTTATTTTGTTTGAAAAAGAGAGTATCACTTTAATCAGTATGTTTTACTCCGACCAGCTTTGATATTGTTTGCCCTCTGGCATTCAGAGTGATCTTCTTGATGCTGCAGGTTTATTTCCTTTTGTCCTACTAGTGTCCTCTACGGATGTCACCATAGCAACCCACCAGAAATGAGATGAAGGTGTCATTTTGTTTTTTTTGCAAAAATGTAAAAACTGTGGTCATTGCCCCCTTGCAACACATGGTTAAATTGGCTCACATGTCTTCCAAAATAATTACGTGAAGTCTGGTTGGGTTGGAGGGATTTGTCTGTATCAGCAACAGAATAACAATTCTCACCAAGCTCAGGCACACGCTCTTTTCAAAGGATTACAGGGACAGATTTAGAGAGCAGATCAAGATTCTTTGTCAAGAGGTAAGGAGGGCAAAGTGTGCAGCTAGCTGGACATGCTTGAAAAAACAAGGAGAAAATGTGTGTGTTACATTGTTTATGTGTTGATGCACCACATTTTACTGGGATGTTCTTTACTGTTTTGAAATCAGTGTCAGTGATCAAAAAATATCACCAGCTTCTTTATCATGTGTCTTTGCTGTATGGCTTTTACAGTATGGAAGCTTTACAGTTATTATAAAATCAGTCTCTATAGAAATACAATAAAAGCAAGGCAATGTTAAGTAGGTAATGGAGACTTAATGAAACAATGATTCAACGGAAATTGTTTTCCCTAGATTGTATATTGTCATTCTATTACTACGGAGCCTGGGGTGGTTGTATCTGTAAGGTTTGGGGGGTACATGAAGAGTTAGCCATGATATAAAAGCTGCGTTTCAGTGGCACGACTTGTTTGAACAAGTCTGACACTGAGAATGTCTGTTCCGTCTGTACACCCTGAAACCACACTATTGTTTCTTCTCAAAGCTTGAAATATTTGAAGTACTTGAGATTTCTCAAGGGCAACAGGGAAGGGCACCTTTAAAAGTCCTCTTTTTGTACTGTGTGAAAGGGAAAGAGAAGAGACTTAAAGCCTTCATCTCAAAGTGAATGGAGAGAAATAGACAATCAAGGTGTTCTGAAAATGTAATTACTGGAAGTAAAAGCCAAGGGCTTATTGTGAGACAGAACCTACAAGGACAGGACCGGCGCTTCCCAGTGCCGCGCCAACACCTATTTGCTCCGGTTAGCCTTTTCCTTTAACCATGAAAGCATATTTATATAATTTTCTGAAAATGGCCAATCCCTCAATTTTTTACACTCAAAAAAAGACCTGTGCTTTTTTCAAAATCAACTGTTAAAGGGTTCATACCCAGCAGGTAAATCCAATCAGTTCAACATCCAGATATCACAAGCCTTCTCTTCTGAGGCAAAGCTGTATCTATGCTTATAGGTGATATACTTTTCATTTTCTCCACAAGGGGCCTTTTTCTCAGCAATTTGGCTTGTACATGTTATCTTTAAAAGAAAGAACATCTAAATACTATCTGTCAAGTGTCAATATGAAACCACGGGCAGTAGGCCTGTTCTTTTGAAGTACTAATTTGTGCCAGAGTTGTGTCTGTAAA